GTCTATAAGTGCAGTTTAGTCTTGCAACTAAATAGTTCCTGTTTACTGTTGTGCCACCGGGTTCAAACACATGCCAATATAACACTTTCACCAAAATTGCTCTATCAAAGTCCTGAGGAATATTTTCACACATCCTGGGTATTAATATCAAATGCTGAACAGTTAGGGCAGCCAAGATACATCAAAACAATTTCTTGGCAGAACGATGCCCAGTGAGGTGTAGATATTAACTCTGTGACCTAGACTGACTCCAGGCTGGATAATAATATTTGATTAATTGATAGTAATTTTCTGTTTTCTGATGTTTATGGCGATCATTTATTGTCTTGTGCAATCATATATGGTTGTAGAACCTTATGAGACATTTTTGCTTCCCTAGGAAGTAGTGAATCTGATTGGCAAATCTGTTTCTATTAAAATCATTGGGAAATTTGCCAATTACTTCAGTGAGTGCAATATGGAACCCATGAGTTATTATTGCAGTTACCAAATAATCTGCCATAATATCTACAATTACATTACATTTGCATACATTAAAAAGATAACATTTGTGCCTCTGAAGAGCAGATAATCTACTTCACAGTTTGTATAGCCAGCTACGTTAAGCACTTGGGGACCCTGTGTATTAAGTGCGTCTTTGCTTCGTTGTGTTTCTAGGATACAGCTTACAGTAAAAGACCACATATGTAAGGCAAGACTCCCTTTTCATGCTTCCTTTTGCTCCACAAGCTGTAGTAACTTTGGTTTTGATATATACTGTCAGCTAGTGCCTCTCCCTGTGCTTATTCAGCTGCACACATCAGCAGTAGACAGATGGAGCAAGGCTCCCTCTGCCCTCTGCCTCTCTCTGCCTATTGATCCCTCATTAACATGCAAATACAGAAATAAGTAAATTTCTGGTTCCTTCCTACTTCTTTTCAGAGCTCAGGTTGTATTAGTCCCAGAGACACATTTATTTTATTGAATTGAAAGATTGAATAAGCTGTGCTACTAAATAGGCAAAAATCTTGACATATGGAGAACCTATTTAATTCGCTGGACTGGGACATAATTGCAGACCAGTTATGACAAACATTGTGAGCCTTCTTCTGAACTGTCCTCCATCCTGAACCGGACAGAAAACTATTAGGGCAAAAGTATATCTTTGACTGGTTGTCGTGCATTAGCCCCAGCTGGCAGCTGAGGCACTTGCTCGCTCCCCCCAGTGGGATGGGGAGTAGGATTGGACAGGTAAAAGTCAGGGAACTCATGGGTTGAGGTAAAGGCAGTTTAATAGATAAACCAAAAACTTACAAGCAAGCAAAGTAAAAGAAAGAATTTTTTCACCACTTCCCATGGGCAGGCAGGTGTTCCCAGGAAAGCAGGGTTCCATCACACGTAGCAGTGATTTGGGAGGACAAATGCCATTGCTCCAAACATTCCCCGCCTTCCTTCTTCTTCTCCCAGCTTTGTATGCTGAGCATGTGATCCTATGGTATGGGATATCCCTTTGGTCAGCTCTTTATGGATTTAGACAAATTAGAAGGAACCTGTTAAGCATTCCAGCTGCCCACATTATTGTTATTTCCCTTCAGCTGTGTTTGTTGTTGCATTGCTTTAAAATAGGAAGATCCTGACTTTGTGTGGATTGTTCCACTATCTGTGTGATTTTTGTAATTCTGGAAATGTGCAGCTCACTTGAGTGTTTAAAAAAAAAAAGTATGCTGCATATCTTCACCTGCTGTATAGCTTAGCCATATGAGGAACTAGTCTGGAAAATATACTTCTGATAAAGAAGGTAAGGTAGAGGATATACTCTCTGTGAGAAGGTGACATTTAGCACAGTGGCAAAGTAGAATTGGCCAGTACCAGGCAGGCTATATGCTGCATAAATTATTACTTATCTTTTAATATGTCTTGTCTTAAATATATTTGATCAAAATATAGGGACTCATTTTATAAAGTTAGTCTAATTTTGCTCTCAGAGGTTGTGCACCTATAATCCAACAATTTGATAAGCAGTTGCCTGAATGACAGGTGCAGCATGTCGCATTGTCTGGAAATACTGAGACGTGGGTTGTTCAGCTTTTTTTTTTTTTTTTTCCCCATTACTCCAGCCAGTGTTCTTTGATGTAGACACAGAAGCAGATTCAGCAGCCATAAGATGAAACCAGGGTCTTCCTGCACTTGGTGCCCATGTGAGATAGTTAAGCAATACACTCCTGAATGAAAGCAGACAGAGTATGCCAGCTCCTCTGAAATCTGAGGTACAGCAGCATGTTAGTTGGTAACAAGGCAGTTGCTATCTGAGGAATCTCAGCAAATTGCAGTTTTTGTAATCTGGCCTAGAAAGAGATTTTCTGTTAAGGGTGATGTTGAAGTGTGTTAGCAAAAGGGATAAGTTGGTTCAACAAAGGAAATGCATCTCTTTGTGCTTGCCCCAGAGTCTGAAGCTGGGTGCATTTCATCTGGTGAGAAGGTTTCTCCTAAATCAGTGTGGCTGTTTGTGCAATGCCAAATGCCAGTGGGCAATGGTGGGAAGGAGTGGTGAAAGCAGCTTCGAGTTCTGGCTGTGAATCCTTACATCCCAGATGATCTTGTGGCACCACCAACTGATTTGATATGTTTTGAACTCAAGGAAAAATAGTTTACCTTAGAGATAAAGACAAAATGATATCTTTTGCTTGCAGTGTCTTTGGTCATGACACAACTGTTGATTTTACTCAGAGACCAAATTACTTTGAATAACCTGAAACCTGTCAGTACTTCACACCTGTCCCAGAAGACATTAGCTGCAGTAGCATGTTATTTTGAATTAGAAAGCATCTCAGGAAGTCAGAGAGAAAAGGTTCTGCTGGTGCTTTCAGAGTGAGCTATATAATGTGTGGTTTTGTATCATCCACAGACTATCAGAAAACAGCATTTGTATCCTGAATGTTAAGACTATATCATAGTCATTATAAACCAGTATGGTCACTATGAGTCTGCTTGTTTTAGCCCTTGGGTAACAAAGTTCACGGCTCCATCAAGCTCTGTCATAATCAGCCTTATTATAAAAACATAATATTGTAACCTTCAAAGGCTCCCTGTGCTAGTGCAATAAAAACTGGGAATGAACTGAAGTAATCTTTAGGCTAACAGCAGTTCCACTGGGAAAATATAACAATTTTTATGCATGTAATGTACATGCTTCCTCTCCACCCTCTTCATGCTCTTTTCACCAGGACAAAAGCTATCCCTCAGACCCCTTTTGGAGCCAAATTAGCTCATCAAAGCAGAACAAGTTTATAACATAGTGTTCACTGCATATCAAATGCCCATGCACTCCTTTGATTTCCATTCTTTGGAGTGCTGTTGCCATATTTTAAGTATTTCATTTCAAGAAGAAGAGCTATTAAGTGTTTCCCCCAAAGTAGCTGATTATTCAATGGCTAAAGATGTCAAGGATAATGAAATAAAAAGGGAGCTGGGCTGTGATAGTCTCTAACAGGAAAATGCATCTCATTAGATGGCATTCCCACCAGAGAAGTCTATGGTATTGCATGCATTAATTCCTTTCTGCCGTTAAGTTGTTAACCAAGCTTGGGATGCAAACAGCATGCAGCCTCAATGACAGTGCACAACTGTGTGCAAACAGTAATTAATCGTTGGCTCCCTGAATGGAGCCTCTGTGAGGCTGGAGGCAAATCAAAGGGCTGGCCTGGTTTCCAGCACTTGAGGAACACGCCATGCAGTACAATTGGGAACATTCACGTTATGAATATCCCCTTGTAAGCCGTGAGGCAGAGAAGGCTGAGGGTAGCTGGCCTCCACAGGCTCAAGTCTGTGCTCAACAGAAGGACCTGCCCTTTGGTGTTTGGTGATGGGGACAAACTGTGCATACTCTGATCCAAGGATATTTCAGTTGAGTTTCCTGGCAATTCTGGAAGGAAAAAAAAAATCAGACCCACTACACAAAACATTTGTATGTGAATTTATATATTCAGAGCTGTTTGCGAGAGTGCATTTTTGAAGTGACGATGGTGTTCTCTACAGGCAGACTTATTAGAAGTTTATTGATACCTCGGCCAGCAAAGACCGAATATACTGACGAGATGTAAGCACTTTCTCTCACCCTCACCCAGTGTCTTGACTGGAATTAAGAGCCTTTTGACCAGGCAGTGCATTTTGAGGCAGAGAAAGTTGTGTCAGCATGAAACACAGTAGTTGTCATTAGAGGATCAACACATTTTACCAGCAATCCTTGCAGTGGTGTCTGAGAAACCACAAAATTTCCTTGCGCTTAGAAGAAGCAAAACAGTTTCCAGAGAGAGAGCACTGTGTGGGAAATGTGGGCAAATGTGGTCTACTTGGGAGGATAGCAAGTGGTTCACTGTTGTTGTGGGTGCAGCTGTGGGTATGGTGGGGGGTTGTGCTGAGATGCATTATGGAGGCCAGGGCCAGGAAGACTGTGAGGCACTGAAATGGGTTTCATTGTGGTATAAAATCCCTTAAAAATATTGCAGTATCTGTAGCGTATATGACAGTAGTAGTGCCCATCCTGCAGCTTACAGTAACCACACTGCGGCACATGTGCTCATGATTACAAAGTATCTTTGTATGTATCATGACATTTTCTGCCCTGGTAAAATCCTTTTGCCTGGGCAATTCAGCGTCAGGACTTTTCCCTGTGCTGTGTCTGTCTAGCAAAAGGAGATGAAATACAGAAGGGCTAAGGAAGTCGTATAAATTGAATGACTCTGTGGTTATATGATATTCATATCAAAATAAAACTGATCTGCATTGTCACTTGATGTTAATTGTCCTAGAGACATAGTACAGTTTATATTAGCTGAGGTGCTAATTCACCCACATCTCATTATGTAGATAATAACATCCTTATGACGGTGTGTGTTGCTGAGTAGATATTTGTAGAGAGCTGTAAGGTCTCCCAACAGCTTTACGAGCAGACTTCTGTATCTGCACTTTTTTCTTTCTACCTGTAAGCCTACTACTGACCAGTGTTACTTGTGCCCCGACAGGTCTGATTGTCCGAGAGGTGAGCATTGAGATTTCCCGCCAGCAAGTCGAGGAGCTCTTCGGGCCCGAGGATTACTGGTGCCAGTGTGTTGCCTGGAGCTCTGCAGGCACCACCAAGAGCCGGAAAGCCTACGTCCGCATTGCATGTGAGTGTTTTGCTGTCTGTGTTGAGTTGATGAAGCTTAGGTGAGAAGTGGAATCTCTGCTGTTCAAGAGAGATTTTATTTCCAGCCAGTTAGGCTTTGTGTTTTCCGCAGTTACAGATGCATGCTAAAATGAAGGCCTTCAGAAATATTCATAAGAATTTCAGTTTATTCTCTTTGTAAGAACAAAATCTCATTCTTCTCCCCTGTGTGGGGGGAAAGCATCAAAACCAGTATTTCTTGAGTACAGAACTTTTGTGTCTCAAGAAAAGTGTCTGAAGCTAATGAGTAGGAATATTAATAAAGCAAGCTATGAAATGAGGTGATAGCTGTTCTTTTCACAGAACCACAGGACAGCTGAGGCTGTAAGACATCTCTGGAAGTCATGTGATCCAACTCTTGGCTCAAGCAGGGCCACCTAGAGTCAGTTACCCAGGATCATGTCCAGATGGCTTTTGAGTATGTCCAACAAAAGAGACCCCACCACCTCTCTGGGCAATCTACGCTGCTGCTCTTGTCACCCTTACAATGAAAAAATATTCCCTGATGTTCAGAATGAACTTACTATGTTTCATCTTGTTCCCATTGCTTCTAATCCCATCACTGGGCACCACTGAAAAGATCCTGACTATGTCCTTGTTGCACCCCCCCCATCTGGTGTTTGTACACATGGATGGGATCCCCCAAGCCTTCTCTTCTCCAGACTGCACAGTCCCAGCTTTCTCAGCTTTTTCTTGTAGGAGAGATGCTAGTCATCTTGGAGGCCCTTTACTGGACTGTTCCAGTGTGTCTATGTCTCTCTTGTACTGGGGAGCTCAGAACTGGACCCAGCACTCCAGGTTTGACCTCATCAGTGCTTAGCAGAGGGGAAGGATCACCTCCCTCAACCTGTTGTCAATACTTTTTCTCTGCAGCCCAGGCTACCATTAGCCTTATTTGCCATAAGAGCACATTGTTGACTCACAGTCAACTTGGTGTCCTCCAGAACACACAGGTTCTTTCTGTAAAGCTGAAAATATATGTCACTGTAGCCATATAATAAAACTGCTGTTCCTTAACAAAGAAAAAAGTGTGTGTTTAGCATATCATGTGATTGGTAATATGAGTTTGAAAGTGATTATCTCACCCCTAATATTTCATCATTGTTATTCATGGCTACTAACCTCAGTATTTATTTGGAGCCAGTCCCAGCTTAGACCCCAAGAACGCAGGGCAACCAGTTCCCTGAAAACAGATCTTCATTTGACTGTACAAATATTTAATGTTCATTAATTTTCAAAGAGATGATTTTCTTTGTATTAGAGTAGTCACACTGGGGACTCCCATTTCTCTTTTACATGATTAAATACTGTTCTGTATAATAGGAACAAAATATATTATCTGGAATTGTCTCTCTTCCACTGTTTTCACCTCAGCAAAAACACTTTTTGTGAGAAAAGGTCATTAGAAGCTGGATTTGCAGCATACGTATATTTCCTGCACTGTGCCTAACAACTTAAAATGGTAGAAGAGAATTCTTCCAGCCCAATAAAGCTTTTCACAGACACATTAAAGGAAGGACTGTCTGTCATTTAAAACTCTCCATTTAGAGCTTAATTCTCCTTTTGTTCTTGAGAAAGTACTACATGGTTGAATCCTTGAAGAGGAGATACCTTCTGTGTAAACATCCAGGTACAAATCTCGGGAGTTTCCATTTAAATACACATTTTTGAATTCTTTTAGTCCAAGTAACTGACTGGAAATAGAGACATGTACTTTTGAGTACAGGACTACACCTCAGAGAAGAATTCCCTGGGGTTAAGGGGAATTAAAATTATTGTCTTCCTGCAAAAGTAGAAATGCCATTACATGTGTTCATAGTGCTGTCCCATTAGAGCCTTCCCAAATCTTCGTTCGCGAAGCCTAGCCATGAGTGCTGTCCCATGGCAGGAAACTTTTCAAAACTTTGAGGATTTTCTTTTTTTTTGTACTGAAACAAAAGAGAGTTATTTCAGTTTTTTTTGTTCTAAGCAGTCAGCACTTCAGAGGGGCTTAGCAATGTTTGAACAGGTTTTTTAGATTATGGCTCTTAAATTGACTGTTTTTATTAGATTTTCATGTCCTGCCAGGTAGCCCTTGACAGATGGCCATTAAATTAACACAGTTTGGAAGTATTTTATATATATTTGAGTGCATTTTACTTGATATTTAAGTTACTTTTGTGTGCTGCCAAAACTATGCACCTAATTTCTATAGAACACATAATAATTATGTGAATGCTATTTTATATCAATTGACATTTCTTCCCAGGTGTCCACATTTCTATTGAAGCTGCTCATAGTAGAGAGTTTGTTTATTTTTCTTAGTATATTTTGGAAATAGAGGAAAAATCAGTTCAGTAATTTTTCTAGTCTTGATGGCTCTTTTTTTTTTTTTTTAGGAAAATCTAATTAAATAAATACTAGGGAGTTTTATAGGCCTGTAACTCAAATGTGACTTTGTATTTTACTGAAGTTTTTTTTAACCTCTTGTTCCTGAATTTGGGGGTCTTGGACAGCTGTGGCACAGGCAAATCACTTAGGCTCCTTGGGATTAAGGGTTGAAGTATTAGGCCTTCAATCTGCAGATTTTAAACCAGCAGCAAAAGCACATTCACTGCAAAATTGTCCATTTCCAATTACACAGATTTCAATAAATTTCTCAGATAACTGACGACTATTTTTTAGAAAGTCAGACAGATGATGTGGGGAATATGCCTTACTTCGTGATGTCATTTAGTCTACAAGATCACCATTTCAAACTCTGGGCTCGGGTACACCAATACTCATCTGTATTCACAACTTTGACTTCTTAGGACTGGATCTGTACTGACATTATAATAGCTGTTTCATGATAAACTTTCAACACAGCTGGTGAGTGTTCTGATGGTTACACAATGTGCCATGAGGCTGGGATGCAACATGGGGTCCATGCAGTATTATTAATCTAGCAAATCAAGGATGTCCAAAACTTAAGAAGGGCAGAAGAGTCCATCTCTCCAGATCAGTGTGCAGCTATAGCTGCTTGTTTGTCACCAATGCAGTGTTCCCTTTTAATTGGCACAGAAGTGAACACTGACAACTTTAGGAAAGGTGAGGGGTAAATGGAGCATGTAAAGTGCTCTGCTTAAGTGGTATTATTTATCTTAATACCTGAACCTGGTGATTTCATCTTGACATGAAATTACAACTGTAGCATAACTAGCCATACTTAGCACATTAAGAAAAGCTTCTCTGCTCCCTCTCCTTTTCTCTCTTCCTCTCCCTATTCATCTCCTTCTCCTCCTCTTTTTATCTTTTCTCTTTTATGCCCTTATGTCTTATTCTGGAATTATTGTGTCCTCTCAAGGGCTGGAGCTACACTCCATTAAAACAAACAAACAAAAAAATAGCGTCCAGCATCACTGTTCACTGAGTGTGTAATAGATTTAACTGAAAAGTAATTTGAAAGTGTGAAAAATGTGCATCCTGGAAAAGTGGCTTGTGTTTGTTTAATGCAGGGTCAGCCATGTGTCAGAAAGTACATAACAACCTGGTCAATGAAAGTTCTTGGTGAAAATCAATTGCAACATTGCTCTGACCAAGAGCTTCAGTTATTCAAGAAAGGAGTAATCTATAAATGTGGAGTAAAGATGCTGATGGTTTTCAAAGGCTGCCCATGCTAGCAATATAAACAGAAAAAGAGTGAGTCTAAAGACAACATCCCAGCTTCCTTAAAGTCTTCAGGGCATTTAGCGGCAAATCACTGTTGCACTCCTGGATCACGAGTATGTTGGGAAATTACTCCCTTCTGTGCAGGCTGTTTCTGATAAGGAACATTTTTCCTGTTTCATGGAATCCATCTTCCTGGGGTGTTGGTCTCCCCATGAGAGCAGAGCTGAGGATTTCATCCTTTTAGACTAGCAGATTTGTTCAGATTAATTTTTACTTTGCCGTTTTAGATATCTCAGTGCCCAACAAAGTAGGGACACCTAATGTATGTATCTTGGTGAAGCTGGAAATATATAAAAAATTTTCTGAGATATTGGCCAAGGAAAGTGCTAAAACACATTTCCTATTTATTCACGCATTTCTTGTTTATTCTAGGTACATCCTATCAGGAGCACTAGTGAGTCACTAATATGTTTTGATACAGTTTTTCTGCTCAGTTAGAAGATGTTACTGTTTTAGAGGGAGGGAGGAAGGAGGGGGATTGGGCAGCTTTACCTTCAGCTGTAAAAAACCCAAGCCGAATATAAAGTTTTAATGTGAATTTTCTGTAACAGGACTGATGTAATTGAGCAGATAAAACCTAACAGGGAAAAATTCCAGTTAAAACAATGAATGAGATCTGAGCCTGTGTAACCAAAAGTAGAGCTAAACCCACTGGAAGATACATCTGATAAAGACTAAACAATAGCTGCAGGATTTGACCTAATTTTTAGATCAGATAATAAAGGGGTGGCTCAGATAAATTGCTTTGAGCCCATGTGCATAGAGCAACCTTACTTTTCATTTGCAGCACTTCGGTGTTGCTGTAGCCTCACTGACTTCATGATGTTAACCCATGCTGTCCTTGAGAAAATATGGTAAGAATATAAGCCCTAAATCTTCTGTTAGGTTTTGGATTTTTTGAACACCCATGAGAAAATAGAAGCTTTTTCAGTAATTTCTATTACTCAGTCTTTTTTTTTTATGTAATGAATGTCAATAGTTTTTTCTTTTCATTTATTTATTATCTTAAAATCGGAATTTAATAAAGAAGAAAAGTTTTGAAAAGCCCTAATGTAGTAAGGAACTGTGCTACAGTTAATCTTTTTTATAATTTTGTACTAGTTTCCTATGTACTTATCTAAAAGCCTTTATTCCCCCAGACAATTTTTCAAAAGAATGTAGTTAAAATATGCATGTCAGATGCTGTATACTGATCAGATAAATGCAGTACAGAAAAGTAGATTGGTTCATCTGGTGGTTTATCTCCACTTACAAGGGGTATGCAGTTATACA